TAATAGCCTCCTAAATATTAAATAGAATTATATTTTTTATATGATACTCTTATAAATATTAAACAAACACTAGATATTAATATATATATATATATATATATATTGGATTTGTCTTTTAAACTCTAATATTTCATGTCTCTTCTCTTTTAATAAAGGCTAATACCTTTATCAAATTATGAATTCTAAATATTGTATAAGTATTATATTTGGCATATATTTTAGTTTCATCTATATAATCACTAATATTTTCCTTTTCTTTTCTTGAGATTAGAAAAAAATTGAATTATGAAATAGAAATTAATGTTTAATAAGTTTTTTAACTAAATAGTTAATTAGTAATAAAGTTTTTTAATTAAATAATTAATTAGTATTAAATTTTGTTAAAGAAAAATGGAGAAAAATATACAAAAATTTTAATTTTAATTTTAATTTTTTAAAAATTGAATCTACCCGACTCAATCTAAGATCCGTGTGGGTGAGTCACGAGTCAACCTCTTTAACCCAACACCAAAAATAACCCAATTCAAAAAATTCAAGATCCGAGATAACCCAATTCAACCTGTTTGTCAGATCCATGGCTCTCCCCAACACCCCAGAACGCCTAAGGATGCTCTTCTCTTGGAAAATTCAGATGCTTAAAGGTTGCCAATCGGTTACCTCAGGAATGCTGATGAAAGTATGAAACGTAAAAGGGCTTGTTTGGTGAGAGTGTTAATTTTATTAAAAAAATATTTATTAAGAAAGGAACTAAAAAGGTTGATAAATATTTTATGAAAAATTAATAAATTTTATAATAAAATTCAATTAAGTTATTAATTTTTTTATATTTAAAAAGAAATTGATATAAAAAATTATCAAATAAGTCACATATAAGAAAAATTGAGGAAAAAAACCTTTTTCTTTTAAAAAATATGAAAAACAATTTATAAATTAAAAATTATGCAAAAAAAAATTAAAAATATTATTTTTATTTTTCTTTTGTTATAACGTTAATAGTAAAAGTACTTAAATAACTATATAAAAGAAAAAGTTTAAAAAATTTTAAAAGAATAAATAACTTCAACTAAACATTTTATAAATAAGTATAGTTATGTATGTACCCACAAAAAAAGGAATGTATAGCTTTGTAAACTAGGAATTTGGCCAATATTCAAAAAATAAAATTTTAAATTCCACTAAGTCAATATGTTAATATGCCCTTGAAATTATTTGAAGTGATAATAATCTCAAGATACAAAAGCTAGCATGGGACACCCTTCCTGCATATACCTTGGTTTGGCAGATGAATAAGAAAAAAAGAGCCATATTTCATCAAAGAGGATGAAAAAAAAAAAAACAATCAAAAGCCGAAAACCAATACATCCGGGACAAATCGAGACCCCTCGGTTTTTCCCCTGTTAAAATTAGAAAGGCACGGTGTTGAAACTTGAAACAAAGTAGCATCTTTTATAGAAAAAGCTGATATCTTGGAAATCAAAACCAAACACAATCACGAGGGGCTAATTGATTTTCTTATAGAGTTCACTAAAATCAAAATTTTAATCAACAAAATCCTTGGGACCCCAATAAGAGCTACCTAGTTAAAAGTCAGATTTTCAAAAAATACTGGATATGAGAAAATAAGTTTGGCATTCCACCACTTGAAAATCAAAGTTCGACCAAAATAGTTGTTCTCTAAGGGGTCAGTCATAGGTGATTTAGAGAAGAGATAGACCTGTCATCGACAACCTCAAGCACAATGGAAACAATTGTCGCACAAGGCTCAAACCATAGTCAACTTGTTCTCATGTGGGCTAGTCAGGTGAGTACACCAAGAAATCAGGACTATTCAAAAAAGGGAATTTTAAAATGAAAAAGTGTCACACTGTATATTAAAAGTGCATTCTAACATGAATTTATTTATTAAAAGAGATAAAACTATTTCCTATGTTATTTCATTAAGAGTGCTTTAGTAATTTTAATGTGTAGTCTAGTCTAGCTTGTAAAACATGAATCCCATCTTAAAATTACCCCCACCATTTCTATCAAATGGGACAAGTCTTCTCAAAGAAAAACTTAGGAATTAAAACCCAGCACACATCGAGCTATCAAAATGTTTCGATCAAGAAGCATATTACAAACTATTTTCTGATTGCAAAACTAAATCGGAAATAGCAGCAACTAAACTACTACAACCCCCATTTATCCTCAACCAGATTTTATATTTCATAATAAGCTCTAAATTCAATAATGACTCTGCACTCTCAAAATTATGCAGCCTAAACTCATAGCACAATATTCATTTTCAAATCAAATACATAAACCAGGCAAACCAAAACGTATCAGTTTTGCAGAAAACCATTCAGATCTTGTCTCCTACAAAAGAAATTGCTTCAAAAATTTAACTTGAGACCTAATCATTAAATATCTATTTCTCCCTAATACAACTACTTTCAGTCTATAGAACATCATCAAATGTTCAAATACTGGCATCACACAAAGAATAAGGATACAAATTGCTATACGAATAATCAACAAAGCAATAATATAAGAAAAACATGAATGTATTAATAACCATATCTAATTCTTCATCAAAAGCTTTAAAGTTCAGCAACTAAAAACCATTTCAAGGAAAATGCAAGATAATTTCAATACTAAATTAAACAAGTACCAAGAGAACTCAAAATTGCAACAAGTTCATGTGATAATACCATAAGACCAAACAAATCTACTCGCCACCGGCCTTTTGGTAGACATAGGTAAGCCCACACTTCCCGCAGTAGTGCCTGTCAAAATGATTGGCCATGAAGGTCCCGGCACCGCACTCCGCGTTGGGGCATTCCTTCCTGAGCCTCTGTACCTTGCCGGAATCATCAACTTTGTAGAACTGGAGCACCGCGAGCTTGACCTTCTTCTTCTTGTGCTTGATCTTCTTAGGCTTGGTGTAGGTCTTCTTCTTTCTCTTCTTGGCACCCCCTCTCAGGCGCAGAACAAGGTGAAGGGTGGATTCCTTCTGGATGTTGTAGTCGGCTAGGGTGCGGCCGTCCTCCAGCTGCTTGCCGGCGAAAATGAGACGCTGCTGGTCAGGAGGGATGCCTTCCTTGTCCTGGATCTTAGCCTTGACATTGTCGATGGTGTCGGAGGATTCAACCTCGAGGGTTATGGTTTTGCCGGTTAGGGTTTTGACGAAGATCTGCATGGTTGCAGACGGAGGCGGTCTCGCCGGGAGGGAAAAAGAGAGATTGTGAAGAGCGGCAGAATGATGGGTTTATATATGGCGGTAGGGTAACTAGGGTTAGAGTGAGATACTAGAGTGTGTTGCAGGTGTACGCTATTGCTATATGATGCGACGCTGGTTTCCGATTGACGGTTTATGATATGATTATAAATTTATAATGCCGGTAAAGTCCATAAATTTTGGTGTAATATCCAGTTTCTTCACCAACATTTTTCGGTTGACAATTCAGTCCAAATGGTTAACTTGATTTCAATAAATTCCTAGAGTTTTTTCCTTTTGTCAATTTTGCTTTCTCATTATTAGGCAAAATAAAGAATGACTATATGCAATCATTTTTATAATGTAGTTATTATCTAACTAAATTATTGTTAGTTTCTTAAGATAACTAATTGTTAAGAGTTTGAATTTGTAAAATAAAGATCTTATATTTGATTTTTGAAAAGAATGAAAAGATACTTAAAAAGGAAAAAATTGTTTTTTATTGTAAATCTATCATTAAATATACCAATTAATTTTGTATAGGAATAACCTTATAATTGATGCCTTAACTAGCTCATTGGTTTTCATCAAGGCTTCCATACTAAATTTTGTTTGAAAATAGGCATTTAAGTAACTTTCAATATTTCTTACGGAACGCCCCTTTACTACGTAACCTTGCCCTTAAAAGTAACCCTGCAGTGCATAAAAAGTAAAGAATAACGATGGTTCTTAGATTTAAAAATAAATTTATTAATAAATAAATATTATTTTATAAGTCCAATTTAAATTTTAAATTTTAAAGTCATAAAAAAAATAATTTCCTTAAATATATAGTATGCCTAGTACTGGGGTGAGTCTTGCAAGTTTCTAGCCTGGCTGTTTCTAGGTGATTGCTGCCTACACTAATCTGAAACTCAAAACGCTGTCGTTCCATTTGAAAAATATCACAAGCCGTTCTGTTCTTCCTCCTCATTCTCCGTCAAAACGCTGTCGTTCCATGTGGAAAACTTCTCTTCTTCGTCCATTCTCTCCGCGACGGAGGAACCAGAAACAACTCCGCCATAAACGCATTATCCACACCTTGATTTCAATGCCGTAAATTTCAACTCTTCTTTCTTCTCAAGCTCAATGACGATTCTTCTTTTCCGGGGCCAAAACTACAACTACAATACTCGTTCGGAATACCCATTGATGCACTGGAAACCAGCGGCTCCAGTCTACACTAAACTCATCCAAGGAGCTCCAGAAGGGTTGACAAAAGATGAAGCTACAGTATTCGTACGCATTATTGTCGTTTGATGACGAACAATTACTTACGTCCTACTGCTGGAGTCGGCATTTCAATTTTCAAGTGGCTTCATTAATGAATCATGAACCCTACACATATATGGTAAGCCCATGTTTGACCAGAATAACTCTCATTACTGTGTAGTTTCAAAGATATTGAGACAAAATACGACAATTAGACAATGCTGAATTGACATCATAGGTATATGTTTTGGGTCCTGAATGAAGCAGTTTCATGTCCTTTAATGTGTGATTGTGTGGTTTGAGAAGAAATAGGATGTCAGACCATCATCATCATTCGATGTCTACTAGGATTCAGGAAGCATAACTCCACTGGTAGTGCAGTTCAATGGCTGCAGTAGTTAGGGAAAAAGAACAGGCCGCTAGCCAATGCCTTTTTTTGGTTTTCAGATAGAGACTTGAACAAATTTCAATCTGCTTTTATTTAGAAAAAATGGTTTTTTTTTTTTTTTTGCAAAAAGTTAAAACAGTCCAAATAAGACGTTCCAAGAGTGGTAGTTTCCTAGAAAGTGCACCTTCAAGAGTCTGTCACTGTACCCCCCACGGCTAAAATCTGAAGATTGATGTCGATGTTACATGCTTTACCCATAGCAAGGCTAATGGTAGTTGAATGGTATATTGTGTATGGCATGGTATTGTTTTCAGTATGTGCTATGCATTTCAGCTAATGTGCGTGATGATTGTCGCACATCTGACCAAAAGTCCGTGATATCAGAAATGATGTCTCCATGGAATGATTGGAGCTTTCCTTTTTAATTTTATTTTACTAATTCCTCAGAAAATCAAACAAATAACCGTGATTTCTTCCTATTCACACGCCAGCCACCACAATACATGAAAGAAGCAAGCATATACTAGTTGTACGGGTGAAGACTCCTTTCCTGTTCACGATCATCTGCATTTTGTCTTGCAACTGTAAGTGCTACAATCCATCTTTCTTTTTCATGGAAATCGACCCTTTTTTTTTATTTTTATCACAGTTAGCTTTCCAGGAAAAACCCATCTAAAGCAAAGAATCTTTGTCTTATGGTGATGTATAATGGCGCTGTTTGTTTCTTTCTTTTATTCCTTTCTTGCAGTGGTTCTGAGTATTTCTATGGGTAACTTGCAACTTGTGTTTGTCTAGTTCAGTTAGAGTTTTGATGTAATTTTATTGCTGGGTTTAGTGGGATTTGGATATTTAGTATTGATTACTTCTAGAACATGCTCCCTTAGTTTGTTTCAACAATTCTATTCTTGCTAATTCATTTTAGTTTTTTTAGGCAATTTCATTCTCAGGATTTGTTTTCATGGGTGATTAATTGTATTGCTGACTTGAACATTGGAGGTTACTCTTGATTAGTTTTCCTTAAAAACTCCTCCTTTTTTCTCAATCATTTCTTGAACTAGAGCAATGGTTTTGATTAATTTTTAACCTGCTTGAACCATATTGAAGAAAATTTCTTTCATTTCTTGAAAAGAAATAATTTTTACATAAAAATTTCTTTCGGGTGTAAGTTTTCATTTGTTCTCTCTTCTCTGAATATTGAGCATTGCAATGTAAATTGAAATTATGATGAATAATCGACCAAGTAGGAATAATATCTTCAGTTTCTCAACAGGATCGTCAGCAAATACCTGGCAGCCTGTCATGACTGCTGATACAGCCACCTTAAGTTACTGGTTGAACTGGCGGTTCTTCCTTTGTGCTCTATTCATTTTTATCTCTTTGTTTCTGTCTGTGATTCTGATATGGAAATATGAAGGAAGAAAAACGTGTGGACTTCAAGAGAGTGATAATCAGCCAGGCTCAGGGTCTTTGTATGACGAAGAAGCTTGGAATACATGTCTCAAAGCAATCCACCCTGCTTGGCTGCTTGCTTTTCGATTGTTTGCTTTCATTGTGCTTTTGTCATTGCTCACAGCCATTGTTGTCATTGATGGAGGTGGCATATTTTATTTTTATACTCAGTAAGTGATGCTTCCATTTAAGCTTTGCATTTATATCACATATTACAAATTTTCAATATAAAGGACAGTTGATCATTTGGTAGGACTCCAGAGAGATCTTCTGGCAATGGTTGAAATTTGAAACTGCTTTCATGTTGTTCTTTGTCATTGCTAACTGTTCCTTTTAACTTATGTTTATTTTATTTATTTTCGGTTGCTGCGTAGGTGGACATTTACTTTGGTTACAATCTATTTTGGGGTATGACTTATACTACTTTCCCTTTACTTGATTTTTTGAAGAATGGGAGTCCCTAACTCATGTTTCATGTTGCTTGGGTATTATTATGCTCTCAACTACACGTTTAGTTTGGATCTTCAATCTCTATATGTCAATGTTGCAAAAACTGGAATAAAGTTGGTGGTAATGGGGTTGATCATGCGAGTTTAGATTCAGAACAAGGCACTCACATACCCTCCACACTGAGGAACACTGTAGATGTATCAAACTTATCCAGAAGTTCAAATACCCTTGAGGAACCTCATGGTCGTCAAAAGGCTGGTCCCTGGACCTATGCTTTTCAAATCATGTATCAGGTAATTTTTATACTCAAAACCTATTTCTATGGTAGTCCTTACGCAAAACTCAACTTTTCTAGTTTAACCTTTTTGAGTCCTGAGTTTACTTTCCATCTTCAACTCTTAGACAATGCTATGTGATGTTTTGTTGTTGCTCTTTTAATCTCTTCAGCTATGATGTCTGATTCAACTACATATATACTGGAGAAATGAACTTAAATTTCAAAAAAGGGGTACAACTTTGCTTCAAAAGAAAACTTTTAGAAATTGTTCTTCAAGAACCATGCTGTTAATCATTTCCTGGAAAAACTGATAACATTTGGCTGAAATTTTCATTTTCATATGTTCCTATCAGTTGAGTTCAAAGAACATGTTTTCAGTGAATCTTTATCAATTTCTCACAATCAATCTCATTTTTCTTTTTGACTTTTGATGTTGAATCTTTCAATACAATAGGTTTGTGCAGGTGCAGTGATACTCACTGATTCCATATTTTGGCTAATTCTCTGTCCACTCCTAAGATCAGAACATTTTGGTTTAAATTTTGTAAGTATGAGGATATGAACTCCATTATCCACCTGGTTTTTTTGCCTCATTTTAGTTGGTTGTTATGTTTCTGTGCATAACAGCAAATTCCATTGCTCACTATTTACTTTATTCTAACTTATGTCATTATAAAGTGAGTGTTCTTAACACATTTGCATGTTTACGCTTTAAACTGCAGCTGATTGTATGTATGCACTCAATTAATATTGTATTCCTACTTGGTGACTCAATTTTGAATTGCATGGTAAGCTTCTTCCCTTCAATGGTTTTAGTGGTTAAACGTTTTTCCAGTACCTTATGATCGGTAACAAATTACATGTTCCTGCCAGCGATTCCCTCTGTTTCGGATTGCATATTTTGTTCTATATACGGGTATATTTGTCATATTCCAGTGGATCGTTCATGCCTTTGTATACCTTTGGTAAAGTTCCGTTCCCTTATAGTATTGCATGTATTGAAATTATTTACTCAGTTCGTTCTTATTAGGTCGATACCCTTTGCAGGTGGCCATATCCATTTCTTGACTTGTCATCCAACTATGCTCCCTTATGGTAAGTATGTAATCCTGTCGGTGTCTCAACAAGAATGTATTCGAGACTCCAAGTAAAGTGGTTTCAAATTCAAATCTTAAAATAAATAAAAAGGAATTAGAAAATGGAGAGAGTTATTCCTTATCATTAAATGTTCAAAAAATTATGACTCTAATTAGTATTTTGCACATATGAAGCAGCTTACAGGGAAAAAAG